CCGTTCTTCCTGGACTTGCGTCTCACCGGCGACATGTTCTCTCATAGTGAACCGTTACCTTTTTCTTATTTGCCTACAGTCTATGCTCATCTCCCATCAAAAGTGGCACTGCCCCCTAGAGGGTCAATTTGTTACTACATACTCTGTCTAGAAGCCGATATTTACGGACAAGCTTTAGCAGATCGTCCCCCAGACACTCTCGTTAAAAACATAAAAGACGTCTATAGACGTCTTTGGCAGCCAATGAGTCAACAAGACGTTAGCCTTGAATTGCTAGCGGAGGCTAATGGCTAATAATAACACGCCAACATTAATCAAGTACATATCCAACTCCGCCCACATACAAGTCGGCCATTTTGATTGCATCACCAATAGGAAGATCCCAGGCAAGAAAATCGTAAATGCCTCATGGCAATAAAGACATTAATTAAAAAATTGTGAAATTAATTTTTCAAATACTGAATTAAACTCTATACGTAAAGTTATGTTAAAATAGTGGGTGTTAAATAGGTTTGAACAATAAGTCCAAACAAGTTTAACCCAAAAATATTTATTTCTCACAATTAACAGTCCGAGGCTCACCCTCTGTTTTTTTTGCCCAGACCAAGGAAGAGATATCAGATCTGACCAAAGACATCCAGAAGGTGGCGGGACAGATTAGGAACTGCGACTCCAGGCTGCACCAGGCCAACCACAGGCTGGACGTCCTCAACCAGAGGCCGGGATTCGAGCTCTGCCTGGACAATGTGAGGGCTTCTGGGGAACACACACAGGGTGGAAGCCACCAGATAAACGCAGCTAAAGGGGCCAAACAGTCGTTTAAATGGGGCAGTGAACTATTATTACAGCATTTGAAAACACAACGAATGGGATTAAAGGGGACATATTATGCAAAACCAAGTTTTTAATCATTCGATTATGTACATTTGGGACTGTGGAGGGCCTATCAGCAGGCAAAGTGTGAAAAAAAAAGACTCAGTCATGTTTTTGTGGGCTGCCTCAGTCTGAATCCAGGAGATAAATCAGGAGGTTTCAG